GAGGGGAAAGGGCACATATATGGCATAGGAGAAGAAGCAACAGGAAAATAAGGTCGCAGTGGTCTGCACATGCCAAGAAAATAAGGTACAAAGATCATTAGCAAGTCAACGCGGTTCATAAATAAGCACTGCCACCAACCAACCATTTGCATAATGAAGGAGTACTTTGATCGCAAGATACAGTAGTAGCATCTGTTTGTTGCATTTCGTGACTATTCTACGGAATTAACTTTTCTAGGTGTACAGTAAAACCTGATTCTGCAAACAAAACTGCGGACTGCTCTAGCCATTCAACTTTCTCTCAAAGGGCGAAACTCCAACCTGACCGACCTATTTCAGCAACCAAAAAATAGTACCACACCCGCTCAGCGACTGTTTTTGTGATGCCGCTCTTTTTTGTAACGAGTTTGCTCCGGATCAAAACCACCTTCCTCTGCTCCATAGACGGCCCAACTTGGTGTTGGCGCCATGTAATCGTTGCTAGTGAATGATTTTCCAGAAGCCACCTGAATTTTCGGAGGATGAGATAGACATTAAATATGCATGCATGCTACGATGGAAATTTACTTCACTGGGAAAAGTTGCCTACCAGGTCGTGGAATTTTTCATAATCTATCCATGTGTACCATTGGCCATCCACCTTAAATTTCTCCACTTTAGCCAAAGAACGCAACACGAATGTACATGCTCACAAGCAACCTCATACTCTCCGTTGCTTCTCTGACATAATGCCTCAGAAAACTCCTTTACATCATAATGCCAAGGCACATTCTCCATTGTCAACTTCGACGTAGCAGACCTGTTATAAAACTGTTCAGTACTTCACTTCCAATATCACTGTCAAAATAGAACAAAAGGCCATTTGGGGAATAAAACCACTGGGGAAGGTTTTCTTTTTCTTTTTTGGGTGGGGAGGTGCAGAGGCAGAGGAGAGAATGCTAGGTTCGGAACTCACGATCCACAATAAGTAACTCCTTTTATTTCAATGAAATCGGGATTCCCAGTGCCAAAGAGGCTAGAATACGCATCTACATCCTCTGTATTCCAACCTTTGACTAAAGTCAAGCGATAAACTGTCCGCTGTTGTTTGTCTTTTAAAGCTTTCAGGGACTCCTGATTAAGGCAAAAACAGATAGGGCAGAGTTACATTGAGGCAGCCAGGCATCCCAAAGCTAAACTAAAACAAGTAGAAGCTCCTTGTACAAGCACATCTTTCCTAATTTCTCCCTATTGACAATCAAAGACAAGTTTGAACACTTGGAAGGTTCTATGATGATAATCACGCAATCCAACTGGTGCTAGAATTGAGGGAATCCCATTCTCTTTTTTTTGTTTTTTAAGCCATCTAGCATTCATCCAAATGGTTCAGAAAAGAAGAAAGCCTAAAATGAATAAATAATAGGTTTCCATATCATAAAGAAGAAAGCCTAAAATGAAATAAATGATAGATTTTGATATCAAAATGAAGAAAAGCGTAAGATGAAATAAATTATAGATTTCAATATCAGGAAGATTCTCACAACAAATCGCTCCCAAAAATCTCCAAACAACGGCCGATCAATAGCTTTCAAGCTGTCCTTTGTTGCAGCATCTACACTAACGTATAACTGCATAATCAATTGAAAGAAATCAGTGACAATTAGTACCAAAACTCAGTTAGATGTTTAAACAGAACTGAAGACGGAAACAAAACAAGCAAACCTGTGTAACAGGCTTCAGCAACTTGATCTTTTCCGGAAATTGTGCATTTGTCACTAAAAAGTAGAAATCCGTCTTCGATGCAACTCATCTACCAATGTATTGATCTCAGGATACATGATGGGCTCACCAACAAGAGACAAGGCACAGTGCCTAGGGGCAAGACCCTCTGACAGGCGCCCCTCCTTAACACCTGCAGGTACATATGCCTCTTAAGAACAACGCTAACAGTACCCACACATCATCCAGTTTTCAGGACAAAACTTTGCACTAGGGTGACAACTTTTCATCAGTTTGAGCAGTTAAACATGGACTAAGAGGAAAAAGCCTAGATAGTGAAGTGCTTTAACTAAAAGCACTCTCACCTTTTTGCTATTATACCATGCATTTAATTGAATGTTCTAATTCTCTTACATGAACGAGAGCTACAATGATACTCCATATGGGAAAAAAAGGTTGATGCAACCTTAATACTTGCCTGGAACTCCTTTCATTTGCCTTATCATTTTGGTATGCAACTCAATAGCTGTATTCACAATCTCTAAAGGATCATCCATCTTCCACTGCCAACTCTTCCCAACAGGATTTGTGTGATGCCTCCAACAGAAAACACACTTATTTGCGCATGCTAAACTCGGAGTTGCCTCCATGCATCTAAAGATTTGAAGAAGGATAAATTAATCTCTACCAAACAGAGAAACATCCACAAAGTCATGCACCAACAAAAACCTGCACAGCTTATCAGGAAAATCTGCCTCTTAACCGCTAAAGCGCTCTTAAACAGTTTTAAGTACAACAACTACCTTCTCTAAGAACAGATAACCTATAGGCTAATCATGTTAAAATTTTACACAACAATTCAACAAAAGATTTACAATCATGTTGACTGGGGTTTACTTTAGGCTCTATTTAGTTGAGAAAGTTCGTAGATTGGAATGCCTTTTAAGAAAATTTTAAGGCTGTGGAAATGCTTGAGACATCTACATCATGAGGATCTGAAAGCTTTTACTTGGATACAGTAATGACATCCACATGATATAAGGTAAATCAGTGCTCAAGCCAGAGGAGACATATCTATGTAGTCTAATTGCAACTCTCAAACAAACAATAGTACAATAAGTGTCAAGAGTTGATAAAGTAAACCTGTGACTCTCAATCCCATAAAATGAGTGCTTGTAGCAGCCTCCACGGCCTCTTAGTTGAGACTTGGTCCATCTACAAAGCTTGACTCCACTGTGGGACCCGATAACTTTATACCCCTGCAATAGCCATAACATAGCTGTGAGTTCAAAAGCGATGGAGGACTTTACATACAGATCTACAGAAAACAAATTTAGATACAAGATATGCAGGTACATAATTGGCCTTTCACCATAATGTAACATGTTAGCAAACTAAGAAACCCAACAAAAACAAAGTGATTCCGCATGCATAATAAATCAAACAAGATGAAATCATCCCCCATGTAAAGCCTCAAAATTCACACAAAAGCAGAAGAAACTGTGAAATCCAACAGATATTGAAATAAAAATCATAGGAAAAGGATTTGCAGAACAAAAGTTACCAACATAGAGGATATTAATAATGTACTAGCTAGAGCATAATAAGACTAAAAATACACATCTTCAAATATGAGGTTGAAGGACAATGACGAAGATACAAACATTTAACTAAATTATAGTCAACGGATGTATTCTATAGTTTACCATCAGACAAACATTAGAAGCAGCTTTTAGTACTTCAAATAACTTATACGCAGTCTGAAGGCAAGCCATGATGAACACACGATTTAAGTCTCATTATTTCAAAAAACATACATTAAACTCCAAAGGTGCAAAAAAAAAATTTTTTTTTTTTTTTTTTAAATATCAATCATGCATCCTAGATTCTTTAATATCTGAAAAACAGACACTTCATCGAACTACCTGCTTCTCCAAATTTGCCCTGATCACAGGAGTCACCATTGCTTTCTTGCCAGTCACACCATTCAATTCTCCATTAGCTTTAGCCTCCACCATCTCCTTCCTTCTTGAAGGTCCTTTACCGGCAATATCCTCAAGATCAACAAGCTCCGACTCCCCGCCCATTCTCTCCTTCCTCATCATCCTCATCATCATACTCCTCTTCATCACTCGCCTCACCATCAACGCCATTCAAATTCCCAAAATACACACCATTTTCCTTCAATTATCCGTTAACGCCTCAACGACTTTCTGACTCCACCCATCAAACACCTTATCCAAATCCCCGCCGTCCACATCACCCTCACAAATCTCCAACAGCTCCTTCGCCCCTAGTTTCCTCAAGTTCCCGACAAGCCTTTGCCCACAGCATTGAACGTCTCCCATAAGCCCTACTCCCAACCCCAAAAACCGCAAATTTACACTTAACCAGCAAAGCAGCGCCGACCCGGAAATCCTCCGCACTTTCATTCACCCAATTAACCAGAAAGGCCCCATTTTGCGGGGGCTCCCCATTTTCCCACGTCGAAGCGATTACTAAAACGAGGGTTTCTCTACTAGGTCTTCCGGCTCGTAATCTTTGGGGTCTATAAGTCAAATGGGAGGTTATTGAGGGTCAGTAGGTTGTGGAGGCGTTGAGCTAGACCTTTGGATGTGGATGTTTGAGAAATGAAAAAGATTTTGCCTCTGGATCAGGGTTTAGGGTTTTGAAGGTTTTGAGACGGTGGAGAAGGCGGCGTGGGATTTGTAGAAAAGGTAGAGGGTGGTGGCGGAGAGGAGAGTGAGGAGGGTGAGACGCGTAGGGGAGAGAGATGGGACATGTTTGGAATTAAACTCAGGGGTTTTAGGGAATACAAAAACAGCAGGGTGGTCTGTCATCTTTCTGACTGATGGCTCTGTTTCTGATGATTGCAGTTACAAAATGTGTAATTATAAGACAAGCCCGGAAAAATCCTATTGGTAATATACAAAATACAACCACCAAAAAAAAAGGTACACGCGTTATTTTTGTTTATCAGTTACTATTATCAATTCTTTTTTTTTTTTTGGGCAGAAAACAATTTTGTTGCCTAAGAGAGCAGATTTTTTTGGAGTAATTTTAATGACACTTTTGTTAATGTCGTAAAGTTGCAAGCAGTTTGGAATTTTGAACTTTTAAATTACTTACAATAATAGATTTTTGGATTGCAGTTTTCTATTAAAATATTTTTACGTTTTTCATAAACATATTTTTTAATTCATATACGTCAAATCCAAACGAGTAGTCACCATGCATCAACGTTCTCAAACTCTTAGGCCTAATAATCATACAATAATATGTAGTTTGCAGCAAGACAATCATCCTTCCCAACATAGATTGCATTTAACTGTAACACAACGTTTAGATTAGGCACAAAGTACACAAATTTGAAACGTGAAAAGAAAATTTTTCATATAAACTGATGTGTGTTGTTGCAGTACATCTCAATGAATACAGCTGAATGTAGTCACTGTACAAACCATCTTTCCTTTTCATTAGATGTCACAACAACATTGATTCTGTTTGCAGCTGGATGATGAATAGACAAGGTATGTACATCTTCAACAGAAATCGCTGAGATAACAGCCTTTCTTTTCATGCGAGTCTTCATCAAGCAATTCTCAGCTACCAAGCTTGGAGGGAGGATAGCAGTCCAAAACTGACAATATAGTCAATACAACCAATAATACCTTCACGGTCGCCACCCGGTCTTCTGTGCACATAGAATACCCTCCCTATCCTTGCCAAATGTCAAACGAATCTCCCAGTGCAAGCTCCTCAATATTCCCTCAAGTGGATCAAGAATTTCTACCTTATCGCGTATGATCGCCCAACCACCAGGCCGTAGCATGCGGTCCATCTCAACAACAATTACTACTATAGGATGCTTACACCTGCAATGAACATTATCTTGGAATAACGCACACATCCATCAAGAAGTAAATGTTCCAAACAAATAACAACGGTTAAGAGAATCTAGAAAGAAAATCTTAGAATTTCCATTAAAGCATTCTTGGAAGTTTTTTATCCAATTATTCTTGTAAGTTTTTTCTTCCTCCTCACGCGTACAAGCAGTGCAAGCGAGTTGAGCTTTCAAACATCTGTGCTTCTGCATAACAATTTCATCTTATGTTCCAGATAAATGAGTGAGAAAGGCAACAAAACAAAAAACCCAAAAAAATCTTTACCTTGTAAGATCAGCAATCAATGACTTGTCTGCGACATAAAAGCAATAGCCAATGAGAACATAATGACTGGAGAAAAATTCCTTCTACCTGTTTTTAAGTCTTGAGAAGAGATGATCGGCATGCAGAAGATCATATGATCTTGGATAGCTTCCAAAAGACTCGCACCAGTCATGATATATGCCGATAAGGCCACGCTCATAGATTATGGGAAGTGTGTCAGGTGCATGTACAGGGACTACATTCATCACCCACACCTTCTGTTGTGAAAGAGCAGCTGCAAACCTGTAAACATGAATTGAAATCAGAGTCCTGCACCTCTTCTGGTTCTTGGTTTTAACCACCATTTTAAAGTTGATGATGAACATAGAGATACAAAAACAGTTATGGAATAGATTTTACTATTTGGAACTCTGGCCCCTTCCTCTTCACATCAAGATTCCAAGAAAAACATATTTCAAGAAAAGGAAATCTTATCTGGGCAATCTGATGGCATACCCTCCATTTATGGCTTTCATGTCCATTACATTCCGGATGCTGGACCAGTCGATGCCCATTCCGGTTAGATAGGAGTTGTTTACAATTGCTTTCCAGTGCTCACTTTCAGCAATCAATTTCTCTCGATTGTTTATCCAGTCCGGAAATGTTTCAAGCCTCTTTGGCCAACCCTCTGGCCACTCGGTCCCACGTTCTTCTACGGAAGATGGAATGGAGTGCAAGCAATTCTTTATTGAAGCATACCTAGTACACAAAAATGTGGAAAACATTATAAATAAGTTAGCAAAATGTGCAGTTGTCCAGATTCTCACAAGATCTTTTAGAGACTACTATTATCCATGTGACTGACAAGTGAGGTAGAACATCGTGCTTAATCTTGTTGTTTATCAAACCAAGATGTACAATCCAAACTGGCTAGGTATGTCTTCAGATGACCAAGATAGATAACACGTCCATTTTGGACAGGCTGTCAAGTATACTTCAGATTTAGTGCACAATAGTGCATGCTCTGTATCATTCAAGTGAAAGCTCCAAATGATCTTTACGGCAGTGACTAATATACAAAAATTTAAAACCATATAATAAGGTTCCTTCACAATTCTTGTTTCAACTACTTGCAACATAAGAATAAAAAGTGACAGGGACATCAAAACATAGAGAGACTGTTATGCTGAAGAGTGCATGTGTTTCACCAGCATTACCGTCTTTGCATCTTCTGGCAACCTGATAACATGAGGGAAGGAAGTAACCACACCTCAAAGAAAGAAAAATAACCAAATCTAAGGATGGTGACAGTGCTACACACCAGACATAAATGATATACAGAAGTTCTTTACAAGACAAAAGATCATCCCCGCTTAGAACTTGAAAATGAGATATGGATCCTATAAAGAGTGAAAACCAACTTACCAGGCAGCATCTGGATTCTCATTTTCCTTGCATAGAGGTGGAACCTTTTTCCTTCTCAATTCATATATGTCATTTGATTCTGGCTTTTGATATATCTTAACATCAATGTCACTGACTTCATCACTTTTATCAGCCAGGATATTCCAACAAATAGAGGCTGTAAGTTTGGACATGGCTAGAGAAAGGGATAAATGACATCAATAAGATGTTATTTCATGAAGAAAAACAATTTTGGTTATTGAATGGAGCAAGAATATAACATAAAGGCAAGGGATCACACAGAGGAACTAGTTTTACCTCTTCAAAACTCCGCAAAATTCAGTCAGGAACTGGCTAAACTTCTTAAGGAGTCTACCATTTTGCCTTTTACAGCCATACATTATTCTGTACAAAGGTTTTACTTCATATCATAATATTCTAACTAAATCTCAGGAGTTTTGCATGGACTTCACCACTCAAAGGAACTACTTACGTATTCTAAGACAGAGACCAGAGTTGGGTGTTCATAAAACGATGACTATATGCACTGTCCGAACAAACCAGTTGAATAAATACTTTTGAACAAGGATTTTTAAGGTTCTACTTGAGCTATTCCAGAATTTTGCAGATTGCAACTGGAGATGAAGAAGACAAAAGTATAACAATCCGAATGCTCTGATGACACAAGCAAGAACAGCTAAAGAAGAAGAGAACAAAAATTTTTGAGAGGAACAGCTGCTTCAATATAGCTGATGATGGAAAAACAAACTGCTGCTTTAAAGAAAAAGAATTTTTTCTCAAAGCGAAAAGGGAGAACCTTCTTCAATTTCAATGCTGTCATGTTTGCTTGACAAGATGAAGTATCCTCCAGGCCTCAAAATCCTATTCATCTCCAGAAGAAGCCTGCCCCCTGAAAATAAAACCCTCTGACATATCAACTATAATTTCTAATGAAACTCAGGTGAAACTAGGAACAGAACAAAGATAAGAGGACACAGACCATTAGAATGCCATGATATGCTGCATTCGCTGCAATGAAGTGCATCAAAAACACCACTAGAGAAAGGAAGACGCCGTGTTGCCAATGGGCTAACTACTGCTGGAAAACCACGCTCAAGGGCAAGCTGTGGTAGGTCCACTAAGTCATCTTTCAAACCTAGAGTAAGTGCCAACACATTCTTCTCAAGTAGAGAAGCCACAAAGCTTGAATCTGTGCATCCAACATCCAGCACTACACGAATATTATTTCCCCATTCAATGTCTGGCACCATCTACACAGTCCCGCCAAATTCAATTTCATATCAAGCACTTAGTTAATGTTGTGCTAAAAGAAAGTACTTAAATAGAGGTGATGAAAACTAACATAGCATACTAAAAAGATGTTGCATAACAATTGAGTTGGAATCTTGGCTTTCAAAATGTACTCGGTACTATGTTAAAGACTTAGGTATTGCAAAATGACACACAACACAAGAAGACATGTACACCAAACACAATTCAGAATGAGCACTTGCTGAATGATATTATTATTTGGATAACACATTTTCCAAAATTATTGGTACATTTAATTTTAATAAATCATTATTACCCTTGTCACATCATCTCAGATTGATCATCAGATATGTAGCTGTATGACATATTCATAAGAATAAGAAGAGTTTCCCCCAGCATGAGAAGGCCAGTTTAATAGCTTGTTTCAAGACTTGGGCAAAAACCGCTGATGCATTAGAAATCAAGAGACCTTTCTGAAAACCGTAAACATACCAGCAGTTGTAAGAGCGCAAGCCCAAAACTCACCTCTTCAATGGATTCCAAATAATGTTGAATTCCACCCTTCAGTGCTGACTGATTTTCGCGGTAAAGCCAGATATTCTCCAGCTTCAACTACCCAATTCTGTGACTTGACAAATGCAGCAGTTTTGGATGTGCTACATTCTTGTACAATATCTGCAACTACAAGTCAGAAGAATAGAGAACTCAAAACAATTTCCGCCAATCAGAATCTGAGGTTGCGTACCTTTACTTTACTCTCAGGCCATTTTACTGGAGTCCCATAACCGTCATGGGGAAGGGGGACAAGACACAAAACAGATGTTTTGGGGCAGCTTCTTCATGATGCCTATAGCTCTGCAGTTTTCCACTGCTACTTTCAATGTCAATACAAGGAATGTAGTTATGCTTGCTTCTTGTACTACATAATTTCCAAGAATAATGTGCTTTGGGATCGAATAATGGCCCCAATTTTTTTTTCTTATTCTTTTCGAATTTGTTGAATCTCCGCTATCATCTTCGACTTTCTCTACTCCTTCCTCGTCCAAATCCAAAGCATTAGCTAAATCAGTATCCCCTTGGACCACTTCCCCCTCCTCATTGAAATTTGCCTCACCATTTTCCGTGTCTTCTTCACTGCCATTCACATCCTCATCTTGCTTTTCTTCCTGCAAATCATCGCTCTCAGATCCTCCTTTTCTGGAATTTTCTGCTCACCAGCCTGTTTGGTATGCCTCGTACTTTTATCCCCTTGTTTCTTCCCTTTTGGTACATTTTTCTGATCTTTATGCATATTCCCAGATTTCAACGGTGGAGAACCTTTAACCCTTTTCTTGTCTTTTTCTTCCAAGATTTGACCTTTCTTTTCTGAGCTACTTTCTTTACCATTCTTGAGTTCGTTCTTGTTGAAATGAACCCCAGAATCAGTAACTCTTCCATTTGCAGACACGGGTTCAGCAAAATCATCAAAAGTCTCTCTTTGGGAAGTCACAGAAAATTTGGAGGGTGAAAAAACAGACCAAACAAATACAAAACAAAGACCCAAGATTACTACTGCAGTTAACTTCACACAGAACCCATATGATTTATAAGACCGTTTTGCCAGCCGACCAAACTTTGCTATCGCCATAAATGTTTTGTGTCTTTAACATCAGTACCTGCAACCCCAGCAATCATCTAAACCAATGTAAAATAAAAGGGAAAAGTATCTGGGAGCCCAAGAACGATGGAAATGCACACTTCTGGACGGTTAAGAGGTGGAAGACAGTGAAGTTTTAACTGTAAAAAGAAGTGTAGAAGGAAAGGAAGATCAAGAAGTGGATTCGAAGAAACGAGAGGAAACCCAGGTCAAGTTTTAGCAGTGGGAATCTAATTAAAGATTCTAACGATCTGGTGATGCAAAGCAAGCAACTTAAGATTAACCCCCAAGATGCCCGGGGTTGTATCGTAATTAGGATCTAGGAGTAGCATTAATAATAGTACTACTGTATTACTTATTTCTAATTATCTATGGAGATGGTTAATAAAGAAGGAAATCTATCCATGTTCTTATACTAGAACATATAAATTTCGAGATTACATCGTGTTGGCAATTGCCAATGTTATCGGGGCTGTCTTTGCGAGTTTCTGGCAGCAGGAGGAAAGATGGTCAAAGGCCATTGGCCTGCACTTAAATATTTAATCAAAACAATTTTACAGTCATGGTTTTTCTCTTTCGATTGTCTGGAAAATTAAACTCATACTAAGATTGATTTGGGAGAGTTGTTGCATAATATCATATGTGATGGATGATCGGATGAAGTTGTACTTAGGGTGGCCACGGTTAAGATTTGAACCCGTATCTATAATTTGTTGAATCGAATCAAAATCAAATTTTGGAAATCGGAAAAGGAACTATAACCAAACTAAAGATTTAATTTAGGTTTACCAAAATTTTGAATTAGAACAGACAATTTAAAACTCGTTCAAATCGTATACAAAAATATTTGCTACCTAAATTTACTCCTTCCGTTCCACTTTTTTCATCTATTTTAAATTATAATTCACTTTTTAATTAAAAAATATAGTTAATTTTTAATTTCTCTAAAATATTGTTATTTAATATACTTTGTTATCACTAAATATAATACCCATCTTATTCAATAATTGTTTTAATTTATGCCTTGAATAATACAACTTTCTATCAAAATTATTGTTATAATTAATGTAAAGGTATCATGATTAGTCATATTATTAATATTAACGTGAGGGTGTTTTAGAAAAATAGTATATTAGATTTACTTTTCCAATAAAGTCAACTAATTTTTCTCAAATTATGTGCAAAAAAGAAAAAAGACTATCAAAGCGAGACTAAGAAAATATTTGACCAATTTAGAATTCAATATTAATAGGTAACATCTAATACCAGTAGTTCCAATCCTAAACCAATCACCACCTATTGTCCTATTCTATTAGTAAGTCTATATTCCATGACTAATATAAATTCAAGACCAATCTAATTTAATCCAACAATGAGATTATTTTTTCATAAAATGTACATCAAATTTTCACTTTCTTTGCACATAATAATACAATAAAGTTCTTTTTTTTTTTTATTTACATTCATTGTCATATTTTCTTAAAATCAATTTTATAACGACAACCAAAACAGAAATCGAAATAAAAAATTCAAGAACAGTAACGTAACCATTCCTACAAGACAGGTTGGTTTCACCTTTCTAAAAAATCGAATTTATCGATTTTAAATTAAAACCGACTATTCTGAAACTATGGCCATATCTAGTTGTTCTATATATCAGCATCTACACACAAACAGTCCAAGACGAGCCACAAATCTTTAACTCACCAGTAACAGAAGAAAATCCTTATCACAACCCAAGGACTTAATTCATTGTCTAGATATGTAGTGTTCCACAACATATGGGAAAAAGTAAACTGGGCGCCGGTGGAATACACAGCTCGCATTCTTCTTATGTCCAAATTTGATAAAACTTCTATGATGAAATATATTGCTTTTTTCAGAAGTAGAAGTATAGCATTTGTTTGTAAGTTACAAGAATATGATACAATTGATCCCTTGGAGCATCAGACGGAAAGCCTAGCGATTGTACAGTGAACGATGAGAACGGCTAAACGAAGCTCCTTGAACAGTTTAACAGTGGTACAGTGTGGCAACTGGAGGGCCTGTTATCGTGAAGTTCTGGCGTAGACCGGCTGATCGCTGTGAGGACCAGGAACCTCTGAGGCAGTATGTGAACGAGAAGACTCTATAGCATTTAATTCGGGAAGCTTTTCCTGCGACGCATTCATATTAATCTTAATCCTGCAACAGAAAGCATTTAGTTAATATGTTTTGTTTATGTTCTCAACTTTCTTCTAAGAGCTTTACTTGTGTTTAACACTAAAGCATTTTAATTCCCGGATGAATGGCCCCTCTTCGCTGGCATTGTGAAGAAATTATCCTCCTAACCCTCTCGCGGATGCAGGGCCAGTGTTTTGACAGAGGCTGTAAGGCTTTTTGGCATAGACAACCAAGACTAAATCTTGTGGGAGTTGGCATGATCTTATTCAATTTACCCAAGGATTTACCTATGAAGCCTGTGATAAACCAACAAATGGAAATATGTGCTTACCTGTTGTGAATGTTTACATACTCGTCAGTTTCATCCAATATCTCCTCCTGCCAAAAAGGTATATGCAGTGATGAAGATTTGTACACAAGGTCTTAGAAGCAGCTAACAATCGGTCAATTCATTAAGCTTTTAAATACTCATAAAGGGTGCATAGCCACTGAAAGGCCCAAATGTACTTTAAAAAGAATTGTTCTGAAGAGTGAAGACAAAAAAAGAGCCATCAATTCTTCATGCCCTTGTAAGCAACAAAGACCTATGGCCACTAGTTCAAGTTAAAAAATGACTAGAAAGAAAAATATGATATCTCAAGTACCTGAAGAAGCTCCTCGATGACATCTTCCATGGTGATTACACCTAGCACCGCATGATTGGGTGGGAACTCAGGGATTGGGGTATTTTCCAAATCCAAAATGCAAAATGAACAACCCCTGTGTCTCTTCTTAAAAGCAGGAGTAGGAGGAGGACTTTTCTTCTTCGCTTGATCTGCACCTCCCTTGCTCAAGGAAGCATCAACTGAGTCGGATTTAACTGCAGCAGTGTCAGGATCTGCAATTGGGTTCACACATCAAATTCCATTACTTGCCAAGCCAGCTGTCATATTCTCAAAAATAGTTCGCTCAGAAAACAGCATATTCGTAAAGACAGCACAAAAGCATAAAATTGGTCAAAATAGACGAGGCTAAGGAAAACAAAAATCTACAAAAGTGAAAAGTTAGGATTGACTTGGTTTCACTAGTAAGGAAGCTTAAAAAACATAAAAAATAAGCAAAAAGAGCATTGACAGTTTGGACTTAAGTGAGAGTTTAACTTAAGGGGGGGAAATCACATGTTGCCACAAGTTGCAAGAAGCTGCCTCAAAGTTTCAACCTTTAGTTTTCTTTGGTGTCCCTTTTGTCTTGTTGAGATCTTCATACACAACGGCAATGTGGCTGTGGCCCTGCTGAAACTCATTCAATATATCATATAGAGGCATGTTTTCTGCAACCCTGAGGAAGCACCAATAAATTTTTAGTTACACAAAGAATCTTATACAACTAATGCTCAAGAAAGAACCAAGAAAAAATTAGTATGACAAAGGCATGCAAGTAATTAAAATGTTAACTGGCATGAAAAAGAAGGCATCCCCAACAAAATATCATATAACAACAAGGGAATATGATATAGACAGCAAGAGAGGTGATGCTATAGGAGAAATAAGCAATTAAGAATTTATCATACTTGTGTTAAGAGAACAAGTCATGCAATGCTTGTCAAAAGATCAAGTGCGTAAAGAGAGATAGAAACACTAGGAATTAAGTTCTTCCCTTGGTCAATTGTCAGGTAGAGTCTATCTGACCTCCACAACAAGTGAAGTAGAAGTCATTGCAATCAAATTAGAACCTGAATCAAACCCATATATCAAGATTAGAGCTATTCCTGGAGATTAATCAGATTTGACCTAACTGACATTTACAAAGGTCAGTATCCAAGACTTTCACTATCAGAATTGTCAAAGGTGATCTCTAATAAATGTATATCACCAACTCTTTACTAGCATAGAAACTAGGAAAGCCTTCAATTACTTAAAGGTGTTTAACACCAAGAACTGCTTCTTTTGCAATCTGGTGTTGTTGCAGAAAATGTGCAGCTACGATTACAGAGTCGAGACCTAACTATAACAGTGTAACTGCATGACCTAAAAAAGGTCTCATTCTAACCAGCCACATAAAATCTATTCAGGAGTACCAGGGATTTATTGGGCCTGCCAAAGAGAGATTGAGGTCATCCTTACCGAGGAATTTTTCTGATTGTCATTTTCCTCAAAGGAACTGAATCTTCTGGGTCAACAGCTAAAAGATTTTTTACCTGCACATAGTAGAAATTAAAGAATATATTATACAGAAATTCGCTCATAAATCTTGGCATACTAAATATTAGGTATACAACCAAGTGCAAAAAAGATAATCATCAGTAACAGGCCTAAGCCACCCATGAAAATGTGCATTATCAACAATCCATTAACGAGACCACCCACATTAAGAAAAATAATTACCAATATAAGACCACCGACATTAAGAAAGATAATTACCAATATAAGACCAATAATATTAGTCGGATCTTTGTAATAAACAGGAACTCTACTATGGCCCATAGTCATTATAGCATTAAGTGTCTCCCTGCACATGGACAGGAAGAGATTAGACAACAAACATCACTTCAAAAACAGAATAATCAAATTTACAAGCAAGAAATAAACGCACAAATTGAGTGTTCCATCCAGATCAAGAGAAAATGCCTTTGATATGGGGGTCATGGCATCTCTTGCGGTCTTCTGAGTCAATTCAAGCGCTCCAGCAATTATTGTTGTCTCATCATGTGTCAAATCACCACCTTTTCCAGCCTTTTGGGAGAATATGAACATTGGTATTGTAGGTGAGAATCAATCCGAAGAATAACCAAGTTTTTCTTTTAAAAAAAAACATAAAACTCTTCAAATCAGAAAGTATTCAGAGACTAC